GTGAACACATATGCGAGGTTGAATGTTGAAGGCCTGGGGATGGGAGTAGTGGTGCGTGATCATAGTGGCAAGTTTATTCTTGTTGCGGTGGAGAAATTTAGAGGCATACAATACCCAACTATATGAGTGGCTTTGGCGGTTGAATTTAAGCTCCAATTGGCTCGACAACATCAGCTAGCTTTACCCATTGTGGAGATCGATTGTCTAACAGTCGCGAATTAATAACACGTGGCGGACGAGATCCAAACGAAGGTGGGAATTGTGATCAGGAACATTAAGAAGCTAGTGGCGGAGACTGAAGGTGGACGAGTACAATACATAAGTAGGAAGGATAATGAGGCGGCACATATTATGGCACATACGAGGGCTAGATGGGATATTGTGAATGTTTGGTTTGATGGGACACCACTAGATCTGTTGATCAGCTTATTTCTGATGATGTATCATTGTTTCCTTCTTAATAAAAGCTGAAATACAGGTTTTGATAAAATAAAAAAAAAAAGGACTTGACCCTTGGACATACCTGAAGGATCAACTTTTTTTTTATATAAGGGAGGCTGAATAAGCAGAAGATAACACCCTATTACAATCAAACTAGCTTATATTCTGGCCAGAGATAGCTTAGCCATTAATTCATTATGGTATTGCTAATAACGGTGAGGGCAATTCTTAAATTCATATTGGACAATAATTTTTTTGCAATTTTGCAATCCCTAAAGGTAAGAACTTATCATCTTATTATCCAAAGAAACTTAATAATAATCCAAATCCAATAATTGGCAGTTACACGGATAGTGTAGTGGCTGCTAAGTTGGCAATGTGGTCATGAACTGACTGGTTTTGGGCCGGATATAGGACAAACTTTTATAGACACATACCTTAGTTATAACACAATAGAGAAGAGGCTACGACTATCGTTCAGCTTCATATTGAGTTATGTGCCGACACCAAATCCGTAAAAAAAAAAATTACAGCCATATTAAGGAAAGAAAAAAGAGTGAAATTCAGATAACAAAAGCACCAGGAACAACCATCATATATATAAGCTTTCCTCGTCCTTTTCACATTCATCAGTCGCTTAGAGTATAATTAAGCGCTAATACCACTAAGAAACCCAAATTATCAAGAAAGTGTCATTTGTGTCCCGAACTATTCAATATGACATTTATGTCCTGAACTATTTTTCCGTTAATGTTTACTTGTCTTGACCGTTAGTATTTAATATAAATCCAGTTAGCAGTGACGTGCCATCTGACACCGAATTTTAAATTCAAGTTTTATTGAATAAAATAATTAAAATAAAATAGGGTTAATTGCATGGTTGGTCACTGAGATTACAAAAAATGTTCAAGTTTGGTCACTCGAAATATTTAAATCCATTGGTGGTATAAGTTTACTGAAACCATTCACTTTTGGTCACTGTTCGTCCAACTCCGTTAACATTAACTGATGTGGGAGTCAACACTCAAAGTTGACCGTTAACTTAGTGGCGTGGCAATTAAGAAATAATAAATAAAATAAAATAAAATTTAATCTATTTTAATGTCCAACTCATTTTTACCAAAAATAAATAAATAAAATAAAATTATTATAATTATCAAATTGAAAGGACGTTTCCTCCTCGTCGGAACTCCCAAGCGAGCCCAGCAGCGACGCTAGGAGACCCGAGGAGATTACAACAGAAAGCCCAACTATTCTGATCACTTGAAGAGTCACCTATGGTGTTCTGTCGCTGTCTTAAAATATTGTATGGATGTATGTACGTCTTTGTCTTGTTATAATATTGTTTAGCCATAAAAATTAACCTTGTACCACATCGGTTAAAAACAAGGAATTAAATGGCTTTATAAGGCCAACTTAATCATATCAGTTTAAATTAGTTGAGTGGGCCGTGAGGATTGGGTTTTTGGGCCCATTACTCAGTGCCACCACGCGCGCCATGCATATCCAAATTTGACTAAGTATGGGAGCCACCCCCATGACACGCAGAGGGGGGGGGGGGTGGACATCATACCACCACCCCCAGGACATGGCAAGGGGGTGGACATCATAACGCCACCCCATGACATGGTGATGGGGGTGATTGCCGAATTTGGCTAAGGCAAGGAGTATGAGAGCCACCCCTAGGACATGCCAAGGGGGGTAGCCACCATCATACCACCCATGAGGACGTGATGATGGGGGTGATGGCCGAATTTGGCTAAGGCAAGGAGTATGGTAGCCACCCCCATGAGGTACCAAGGGGGGTGGCCACCATCATACCACCCCTAGGACGTGGCAAGGGGGGTGGCCATCATACCACCACCCCCAGGACGTGGCAAGGGGGTGGACATCATACCGCCACCCCCATGACATGGAAGATGATGAGGGTGGAAGGAGCACCCCCATGGTATGATCAGGGGGTGAGGGGTCACCAACGCCAGCTCCCATGAGGATGATATAGTGGTGGAGTGATCAATATGACCCCATGGGGGATACCCCCAATGGTATGGTGAGAGGGACCACCAACGTACCACCTCCAAGGTATGATCAGGGGGTGGGGGGTCACCAACGCCGACTCTGATAACGATGTAATTGCACATATTTGCGTCCTTAGTTCTTATCCGTTTTAGGGGCATAGTCGTGTATTTTTGGCCTATTTTACGCCGGGTTGTGCTATTTTGTCATATTTCAGGTCCCAGGCGTCAAAGGGAAGGCTAAGCACGAGTTTCGGGGCATTCGGAAGTCATTTCGTCGAGCTGGAGCCAAAACACGGGCACACCTAAAACAGAACACGGCCGTGCTTTTACTGCAGAGAGCAAATTCGAGTTTGGTAAACATTGGCAAAACACGGGCTGAAAGCACGGCCGTGTTCACCCAAAGCACGGCCGTGTCCTCTCCAAAGCACGGCCGTGTTTGCACCAATGCACTGGCCGTGTAATTAACCCTTGCCAAAGCACGGGCGGGCTGAGGCATTACACGGCCGTGCCCTCGACCGTGCTTTGGCCACTGATGCCCTTTTAAGCAGATTTTCAGCCAAAGAGAAGGGGATTCGAGTTTTAGAGAGACAAAACGATTCCTAGAGAGAGAAAGTGACGAGCAAGAGTTTCCAAGTGCCCTAGATTGATCTTCAACACCATTGGAGGCCAGTTTGAGCTTGGAGAAGTGCCGATCAACGTCCAGGAGCAGGAATCCATCCTTCACAGTATGAGTTCCGCGTCTGATTCTTCTTTTGCTTCTTTCTCCATGGAGTAGTTCTCCCATTCATCTGGGTATGGAGAACCGTAGATTTGTATGTTAGGCTTTGATTGTATGAACCCAAGTACTGATTCTATGACTTGATTATATTCGATTGAGGTTTGAATGATTGAATGACTTGAATCCTGATCAAATTCCTGTTGTTTCTGCTTTGACCTAGAATGAGAATATCTCCTAGGTTGATAGAGCATCCTTGATTGAAGGTAGGGAGTTGGTGACTTTAGTCGAGGAGCCAACTCACTATTCTGTACCGGATTCACTCCGGTAGTGGAGGTTTTGTTTGTTAAGGCCTCAATCTGTTTACTCCGGTGGAGGTTAGTCGCCCGCTAGAGATTCAGATTGAGAGGGTCTGAAGACCTTTAGTCGAGACTTCAGGCTGTTTAAGAACCTTCCGCAGTATAACTATCATAGAAACTAAACTTGGTAATTACAATCCGGCTTAACTGCAGTCTAGGGGGAACCATATCCGGGTGACCTCTCTTAACCTGAATACAACTGTTTACTTGCTTTGTTAGTTTAGACTTGCATTAAAGTTTCATTGCTAGATAACAAGAATTCATTGAGTAGTCATCAAATCTAGGACCCGGGTTGATAATTAAACCTAAACCCGCTATACTACGCTTTAGGAAGTGGTTGCACTTGGCCAATTCCTAGGGTGACAGTAGAAGTGAGTCAGACTCCCATGAGGATGATATAGTGGCGGGGGTGATCCATATGACCCCAATGGAGGATGCCTAATGGTATGGTGAGGGGGTCACCAATGTACACCCCCATGGTATGGCCAAGGCAAGGGGGTCATGTGAGCATATGGTCTCTTTACTCTACTAATGGTGAAGTACTTTTTGCCATTTTTAACTTATGTTATTCAAATACCCACCCATATGTGGTAAGTGGTATTTCTTTATGGCTTAGCCATTTTTACTCTGTGGATAAGCAAAACTACGAAGGAGATGCCAAGAGAAGAGGTTGAAGTCTCAAGAGGAGGAAGTCAAGACTGAAGAGGATCCCACATCCACCATCAGGGTAACCGTGATAGCAGTTGAGTGGGTAACCGTCACTCCACGTCAGCAGAGCAGTTTCTTGGGGCAGTTACTTCTGGTGGCTATAAATAGGAGGTGAAGATGAAAGAGAAAGGGTTCGCAAAAATCAAAACTCGACACCACTTGTCAAGTGTTATCTTTTTCTCTTTTCCTCTACGGATTTTAGCCATAGTCGTAGTTTTTGGAGCTCTCACTGAACCTCCATAGGAGTAGGCTAATTTCATGTAGATTTGCCTCGTAGTTCATCAAAACATTGAACACCCTTGTTTGAACTTTGTTCAAAGAGGTGTGAACTGTGTTGTTGGATCGTTAGTTTGGAAGTCAAAGGTGCAAAATCCAATTCTGTTCATCTAGTTTTTCTCGTCGAGAAAACAAATCGGCACACCTGGTGGGACTCGTGTGTTCCATTTAATGGCTCCGAGACGGAGGAATTGAGAAGGTGACGCTCCGTTGGGTTTTGTGGAGGAGTAGGTTGCCAACATTGAACATGGCCAAGTGTCAGAGGCGGTGGCTGGAAACAATGGTGGGGTGGAGATCCTACCAACGTCGACGCCTAGTGGAGATATTGGTGAAGCAGTGGGGGTCCATCGTCAAATGATGGAGGAGAACTGCAAACTGGTGGCAGAGAACCGTCAAGCCACAGAGGAGAACCGCCAAATGATGGTGGAGAACTGCCGCATGATGGAGGAGGCTAGAGCTGCTTCTCATCAGGTAAATTCTCAAATGGACTGTCTTAATTCTAGAGTTGATAGACGTCTAAGTCAATTATTTGAAGTGGTTAATAAGAACAAAATTGATTTTGATGAGTTTAGAAGATTTTTAGCCACACCAATAATCCAATCTAGAGCTCTGCCATTAGATGGCGGGAATCCAAACCTCATTAACAATTCTGTAAATTCTAGTTCATCTCCCGTCGGTGGCGGGAATGGTCAGCCACGACAAGATAACCTCTTTCCGACTATGACAAACGAACCAAATCCTTACCGCATGAATCGCGGCGAGATTCCTGCCACTACTCAAGTGGAAGGGATACCCAATGTGGGAGTTGGAGAAATTCCCCCACGTAGTGAGAATTTGGGAGTTACACATTTTGCTCCAGTGGAACCGCCACCCATACCCATACCAGTGGCAAGGCCCTATACGGTGCCTGCTCACATGGGAGGGGGAGTAGGCTTAGGTGGGGGAGATCAAGTTCCTCCCATAGCATACCCAACACACATGCCACCCCATTTCAATGGGCACATGGACCCTATGGGTTTCCTACCCCAAGGTGGGAAACCAGGGGGGCATGATCCCAACACTCTAACCCTGTGTTTTTTTAGGAGAGAAAAGGAAGGGGAGGGATAAACTGGAAGGAAAATTACGTTCCCGAGAAGGTTTCCCCTGTTTCCGAAAGTTTCTACAGTACGGAGGGGAGGGAAAAGCCACGGAAATTTTACTATTCTACTAGCCCCTCCGATTTGGACGAAAAGTCTTACTTTTCCTTCTTTTTCTCTTTTTATTCCTTTTCTTTCTAATTTTGCTTACTTTCTCTCTACGGTGGTGATATTTTGTCCACTTTATAATCCTATTTTTCTCTCCAATAATTTGGTTTCCTTTCTTGATATTCTTAACTAGGTCTAGGTTGCATATATTAGTCACGAAAAAATGATAGTAAGTGATATTACCATAAAATGATTATTTATCTTGCGTCATTACTTAATTCACGATAATAAATAATTATTAATGGAACTAGTAAGTAATATTGCCTATAAAATGCTAGTTTGTTTTATTTTCTATAATAAAACTTATCTGTTATTGATAAACATATTTTAAGAAAGATAATTATAATTAGTAATTATAGGCAAAGATAATTATAATTAGTAGTTGTTGTTAAACATATTTTATGTCTATTCATAAGCATACATATAATATTATTTTACATTATACGTAAAAAAGTTACTAGGTACATAAAAGTGTGTTAAGTTTATAGTAAAAATGACATTAGATTATGAAGTTTTTATAGAATGTATGTCATTATATTGGTTTAAGATACCCTACCATATCGGTCGATCTGATTGGAAATACAGGATACCGGACCCTGAACGATAGCCGATTTTAGCGGTACAACATGGTTGAACCACAGTGTTAGACTTTTAGTACAAAGTTTTCTACCAGGATGCCACTAAATTCTCCTATTTAACTTCTGGTATAGTTTCACAAACATTGTCTTGTATACCAGAGGTAATCCATGTTTTATAGGAAAATGTTTAAATCGAGTTAAAATGAATAAGAATAAATTTAGCGGACCAAATTAGCAAGAAATGATAAATTTGATCCGCTATTAATAAGTAATGACAATTATATCAACACATAATTAAATTATTTATCATTACATAATCAATAAAATAACTTAACTATCACACTTCCCAATGTATTTTTTCTCTTCCACTTTCCTCCATAAAACAACATTTTTCCTTCACCTCCAAATTTTCTCTCACCTCCCTTTCCTTCACCTCCAAATTTTCCTTTCCCTCCATTTCCCTCCCTTCCTTCGGAAACAGAGTGTAAGGGACCAGGTGGCTCAACTTCTTGCCGAGCAATTTGACATGGGAGTGAGACCCACCATGCCACCTATTTATCGAAAACCATACCCTGAGTGGGTGGATAGACTCTGCCCATTCCCAAGGGGGTTAAGAGTCCCTGAGTTTGCCATATTCACTAGGACAGGGGACCAGTCTACTGTGGAGCACATTGGATGTTTTACTGTCCAGTGTGGAGATGTAGGAGATTTTATTAAGTTAAGAGTATTTGGAAACTCATTGACAGGACCTGCTTTTGCTTGGTATGTCAACTTGTCATCCAACTCCATCCAAACATGGCAGCAGATGGAGCAAATCTTCCATGCTCAGTTTTATAGATCTGAGCGTGAGGTTTCCATGGCTGATTTGGCGCGCATGCGCCAAGAGCCATGGGAGTCGGTGGAGCACTTCTTGACAAACTTCCAGAATGCTCGTAACCGTTGTTTTGTCAACTTGACAAAGAGAGAGAGAGAGAGAGAGAGAGTTTGTCAAGTTATCACAAGGGGGGTTGAGTTTTGAGTTAAGGAAGAAATTCCAAGATAGAGAATTCTCTGACTTGTTCCAACTCATGTCTTGTGCGGTGAGATATGAATCTCTTCTTCAAGAAGAGGAGAATAGGAGGAGTGCCTCAAGGGGGCAATACTTCCCCAACATCGGCTACCCTGTCAACCATATTGGCCAAGAGGCCAATGAGGTGGAGGTAGACCTGGCTAAGTTAACTCTGGGAAAGCCATATGTATGTGCTCCTTTGGCTAATATGGACAATGAACCACAAGGGGGTAGACCAAATTATGCCCTCATCCAGCCATGGAAGTATTCATTTGATATTTCTAAAGCCGACTTGATATTTGACCAACTCTACAAAGATGGTCAAATCAAGTTGACAGAGGGGCATAACATCCCACCCCCTAAGAAGTTAAGAGGGAAAACATATTGTAAGTGGCATAACAACATGCTACACTCCACGAACTCATTTGTGGTTTTTTGCAATATATTGCAGGATGCAATTGAGAAGGGTCGCATCAAGCTCCCCGAGCCAAAGAAAGATGCCATGCTGGTGGATACCAACTCATTTCTGAACTTGCTTGGTGTCAACATGGTTAACCCAGACTTCTCAAAAATTGATCTCCCCCGTTTCAAGCTGGTGTTGGATACAACACCGCAACAAGGGACCCTCACCACAGTGTTCGAGCAGGGAGAGTCATCGAAGGGTATGCAGGCCAACTCGGCCGCTTCGAAGGTGTCAAGTGAGGTGGAGAAGCTATGTGCCCAATGCAAAAGGATTTCTAGACTTGATGAGGTGAGACCGAATCGACCAGTCCAACAAAGAATTGGTCCACCCCATAGGCCGAGATACCCATCCTATCAAAGACAAGTAGAGGGGGTCATTCAACTTACATGGGGGCAAAGAAGGCAATGGGTGGCACATGACCCTCTTCCTATGAGAAGGACTTCTAAGATGCCCAATGTGCCACAAGGAGGGGGGCATACTTATGATATGCATAGTCAACCAGTAGCTATTGGGGGGGATGACAAAGACTCAAAGGAGGAGATTCCTACGTAAGAATGCCAAAGCACGAAAGGGGCAATATCCAGTAGTACCTGGTGAGATAGTGAGACCAACACAACAAAATGAGGATGGTCATGCTAGTATTGAGGTGGACAACTCTATGACCACGGGTTCCAAAGTGATAGTGTCTGACCAGGGCAAGAATGCCCAAGTCCAAATTGATGGTAAGGGTCAGAAGGGGAAAAATGGTGTAGGGGGTGATTCAAAGTCATCTTGTGAAGAATCATCTCCTTTGAACAACCATGGCCATATGGTGTATGGTTGGCTTGTTTGGTTTAATACATGGACTTGGCAGTGGATGTATACCTTTGGCACTTTGGTTATTGTCGAAGGGTATGGAGATCAATGATGCTTGTAACTACTTATTATATACAATAAAAAGGTAAAAAAATATTAATTAATATAGAAAAGTCAATCATGGATATATATATATATATATATATATATATATATATATATTTAAAATCCCAAAGTGGCAAGTTTCAGAAGAAGTTAGTAGGTTTTGATGTGAGAATCTTGCCACGACTGGTAAGCCTCAATCATTACTCGTATTGTCAGGCCATTAAGGTGGCCTAACCATGCCAAACTTTAAAATTTTGTAAGGTGTGAACTATGTACCCCATGACAAGTAGTAGTTTGGATTAACTAGGGGGCATGATGTTGTTATAGTATGTTTTCTGCATAGCATGTTTTCTGCATCTGAGCTAGCTTTTGTTTCTCTCTCCATGGAGTAACTTCCTCATTCATCTGGGTATGAAGAACCCTAGACTTGTATGTTAGGTCTGATTGTATGAACCCAAGTATGAATTCATTGGTTTGATTATATTCAATTGAGGTCTGAATTGATGAATGGCATGAATCCTGATCAAATTCCTGTGTTTTCTGCTTTGACCTAGAAAGATAATATCCGCCACGGTTGATAGAGTACCCTTGATTGAAGGTAGTGAATTGAAGACTTTAGTCGAGGAGTCAATTCGCTATTCTGTACTGGATTTACTCCAGTAGAGGAGGTTTTGTTTGTTAGGGCCTCAATCTGTTTACTCCGGTGGAGGTTAGTCGCCTGCTGGGGATTCAGATTGAGAGGGTCTGGTGACATTTTATTCGAGACTCCAGACTGTTTAAGAACCTCCCGCAGTATAACTATCTATGAATTCGAACTTGGTAAATCACAATCCGGCTTAACTACAATCTAGGGGGAACGATATCCGGGTGACCTCTCTCAACTTGAAAACAATCGTTTACTGCTTTGCTTCTTTGTTTACTGAGACCTTCCCCTACATTCGCATTGCTAAATAATAAGAATTCACGGAGTAGTCAACACACTTAGGACCCGGGTTGACATTAAAACCCAAACCTGCTATACTACGCTCTAGGAGGTGGTTACACTTGGCCATTTTCTAGTGTGACGGTAAAGGCGAGTCAAGAAGCAAGTGACGAAGATGGATCAGTTGATGAGTTGACTGAGGCATTCGCCCGTCTCGAAGCTAGTGATGAGCCATGGAGTGTAAGGATGGCTCGTTTGAGAAGCAGGATAGATCTAGCCGTCGAGATGGCAACGCAAGCCAAGAGTTCTCAACAAATTTTGAGGGAGCTCCACGAAGTAGGCCATAGGAACGTGGGTTTGTTTGGAGAAGATGATGGTCGATACCCATTCTATGTATTGTACCAGGGTCCTGAAGCAACATCATCGTTAGCCATCAAGAACCGTACATGGGGATGGGAGTCCGACAACGAGCAAGAAGGTTCATTGGAAAAACGATGAAGCCACCAGAAGAAGAGGCCGTCATGCAAGTAGCCTCCTCGAAAGGAAAATAAGCTATGATAGAAACTACAAGTGACGAGTCAAGCCACTTAGTGGTTTTCAAAGAGCCCGAGCCAAGTATGCTAAGGCATTTGAGACCTCTTTACATCAAGGCTAGTCTTGATGGTGTGCCCATGTCAAGAATCTTAGTCGACAACGGAGCTGCTGTCAACATGATGCAAACTCGTATGTTAAGGAAACTTGGGAAGAGTATGGGGGACTTGATTCCCACAGAGATCTTTGTGACAAGTTTTAATGGAGGCTCAACTTCGGCAAGAGGAATTTTTTCCGGTTATGGTGGGAGTGGGTAGTTGACTCGCTCTTACCGTCACTCTAGAAAATGGCCAAGTGTAACCACTTCCTATAGCATAGTATAGTGGGTTTGGGTTTTAATGTCAACCCAGGTCCTAGATGT